ATCATCTGATTACAACACTAGTATTGGTTCCGCCTTCTGTAAGCATTGTTATAAGTACCTGTTCACTCACTAGCACTTTATGATAATGTAGAGTTTTATTATTTGCTTTAAGATTGTATATAATTTGTTACCTATATGTTTATTGTCTCATGTTTTAAGAGGATAATTATGTTTCTATACTTTGTGGAAGATTTCACAAAATCACTTTTACTCTTAGGAACAAAGTCCTTAAAGTACTTCATAACTAAACTGAAATTAATCTGTCTTCTCACTTGGAAGTCATCATGTTTGCCTAAAAATCCAGTAATGAAAACGGAAAAACACAAACTGCATTCACAAAAATCAAAGAAATACTGACTTTACTGACCAATTTTTTAAAAAACTGACAAATTACTGACCAAGATGAAAAAACTGACTTTTACTGATTTTACTAACCATTTCCCACCCCTGACTGGAAAAGATAAAAGAAATAGACAGTAAAATGCTGGTGGAGAGGATGGTAGTGGAATCAATCCAGGAGAAAGATTTCATGGTACGTAGGAAGACCAGCAATCCTCAGCAAAGAGAAAGGCTGAGCATTTGCAGCCTGGCCTATCAGACTGAAAGTGAACTAAAAAAAAAGTTAAAGTGAGACAGAGATCATAGAAACTGTCATCAAAAAAATGTCTCCTGGACTCAATCTGAGGAGTTATTTGGAGGGGAAAGGGGACCTTGGCTTAGCAAATTTAAGGTGCATCTTGAGAGCCTGTTATCAGGAAAAAGATGCAACTGAACTGTACTTTGAACTGCCAAAGCAGTCCATGAATCCCAAGAGTTGTTGGGGAAATTACAGATTTTAGCACTCCAAGATTTCCTTGTTGGATTGCTGGCTTTGAGACAAAAAAAATCCTATTTACCAAGGGCAGTTTGGTGTAGTGGTTAAGTGCGTAGACTCTATTCTAGGAGAACCGGGTTTGCAGCTGCTGGATGACCTTGGGCAAGCCACAGTTCTGTCAAAGGTATTCTTGAAAAGAGCAGTTTCTGTCAGAGCTCTCTCAGCCCCACCTACCTCACAGGGTGTCTGTTGTGGGAAGGAAAAGGAGTTTGTAAGCCGTTCTGAGACTCTGAGTGAAGGGTGGGGTATAAATCTAGTCTCTTCTTCTTCAGGCCTAAAGCATGACACTGCTTTGGTACAAAACCTTCGGCTGCACTCTTTTCTTAGAAGACTACAGAGTGATAACAATAGGATCGTGATGCCGTCTTATTTAAGATGAGACGTTATTTGAAAAGCTGAATGTGGTTGTCAGTAAAGAACAAGAGAAACAACAGAAATGGGGAAATGGTACCCAGGCAAAGACAGGGAAAACCCTACTCTACAGCAAAGCCTCGGCATGAGACAAAATCTGTCTCTTCATCCAAGGAAAACAGCAATTCTTTGTTGAAGGACATAAGGGGACTAAAAACTAGAACTGAAGAAATCAAGGATGTGAAAGCTGAAATTAATATATTTTTTAAAAAAACAAGTCATTCAGAATATTAGCCAAAGTATACACTATATGGGGAGAAGAGACATCAGTAGACAGATCTATGGAAGAGGCTGCTGGACCTGGCAATGGTCTGGAAAAAGGGACACTTATAATCATTGTTTCCCATGTGGAAGCAAGGAACACTACCAGTCCAGGGTGCCATACGGCAAGGATGTTTCAAGAAAGAGATCAAGCAGGAAATGACAGATGGTCACTCCAGAGGGACTAGGAGCAGCTAACCAAACAGCATGGTCTCACAGCCAAAGACAACACATACTGAAAGCACCTAATCAGAGCAGAGATGAATTAACCAATATAGGGCTGAATGAAGGGAGGACTACTTATACTGTCATCTCACTCCTAAGCAATAGATCAGAATGGTAAACTTGGTGGGGGAGGGGAAATGTATTATCTGGTACATCTTAAATCAAGTCAAAAGTCTGCTTTGTGGCATACCGGTGCACAAGTATGCATGGTGTCTAGTCAGTGGGTGGAAAACAACCTCCCAGGAGTACCCCTGAGCAGTGTTCCCTCTAAGCTGAGTTAGTGTGAGCTAGCTCACAGTTTTTTAGCCTCCAGCGCACACATTTTTGTCTTCGCTCAGGAAGGATGGCTCCAGAGCAAACTAATTTATGCAGCAGCGAAATCATTGCTCACAACTTTAATGCCAGTAGCTCACAAGGTAGAATTTTTGCTCATAAGACTCCACAGTTTAGAGGGAGCATAGCCCCAGAGGAAGTTTGAAGAACTGTTATGAATACATGAGAAATTCTTTCTAATTGGTTGATAAATGTTCAAAAAATGTTAAAATAGTTTTTACTGCTACATAATAAGCTTTTGATGCAACTTGATCCTTATCTCTTGTTGTTGCTTGTTGAATGCTTTTGATGTTCATTGTTGTTGTTAATGATGATTAAGAACAAATAAAAATATATTTTAAAAAAAGAGAGAGAGAAACTTAGGCCCACGCACCTTGATGGAGAAAGTTTTATTTCTCCTTGCAGATGAGGAGCCAGCCGTCTCACACAAGGTTGCTCTTTTTGCCCTAGCTGCCAAGAAAATCCATCCAAATTAGTGTCCAAAGACTAGGCCAGCAAAATGTTATTCTTTTCTATAGCCAGCCAGATAAATATTTGAAGGCCCATTCATTAAATGAATTTTAATTGTTAAGAAAATGTATTTCATAGTCATGGTAGCAACTCAATTTTGTTTTGTTTACTTGTTATTCTACATTTGTTCTTGTTTGTAATGGTCTTTGGCCCCATGCAATAAAACCAAACAGAACTGAACATAAGAAACTTGAATTGAAAGCAGCAAATAAGACACCAATACCTTATAAAGGGCTGACCAAGGTAGATCAGATTATGAGTTTTTGACTGTTCATATTCTTGTTAGCACACACAAAATGGAAAATGTGATAACTGGCTACAATGCAATTGAGGAAATAGTCAAACACCTGAACCCCACCTTATTAACAGAATGAAAATCATATTACCCTATTGTGATTCAAAGAAGGATGAACATCATGAAAGACAAAAATCCTGGTTCTGTATGTGAACTTAAGGTTGGAAAAAGGGGTGCTCTAGTTCTAAGGGGAAAGACTATTAATGTGAGGTGCTGGGCCCATCCAAGGCCTCACATGGGAAGTCTGCCAATGATATTTGAACTACACCCAGTTGCTCCATGGCCTGAAGACCTTTCTGTTGAAGAAACTCTGATCCAAGGGGATGATTCTGTCCAGTAAATATCCCAGTCAGCAACCCCACAGAGCATGACATGTTGAGGGAAATGACAGTGTTTCTACAGTTTTCAATTCAAAACCCAGCAATGACTTGAAGAACCCTGTCAGCAAAATGAAGAAGAAAAGTTCATCTGATCCAACAGTAGACCTGCACCATCTACCAGGTCCACAAAAAGAAAAAAAGGATCAGAAGATGCTAGGAGAAGAACCCAAAGCATTTTCGAGAGATGCAGGAGATATCGGAGAAATTGCAACACTACATGTGCATATCAACCTGAATGACCAAAAACCAGTGCAGAAGACCTACATTTCCACTCCACATCCATTACATAAAGAGCTTAAGATCTCCTAACCAAAGGATACGTTATAAAAATCAAAGTCACTGTATTCATCCCCAGTGGTGTGTTTAGAAAAAGGACAGGTGGCTCCGCCTCTGTCTAGATTACTGGGAAATGAACCAGAAAGATGTATCTGACAGACACCCAACCCTCAAATTTAGGATGTTCTTAATGGACTAATTGAGCGGTGGCGCAAGTGGTTAAGACGCTGAACTGCAGGCTGTGGAAGGTCGATAGTTCAGCAGTTTGAGACCCAAGTTGCCGCATGACGGAGTGAGCTCCCGTCTCTAGTTCCAGCTCCTGCCAACCTAGCAGTTCGAAAGCAAGAAATTGTAAGTAGATAAATAGGTACCACTTCAGTGGGAAGGTAACAGCATTCCGTGCACCTCGGTGTTTAGTCATGCCGGCCACATGACCACGGAAATGTCTTCGAACAGCGCTGGCTCTTCGGCTTTGAAACGGAGATGCGCACCGCAACCCTCGACTGGCTTTCGAGCAAGGGAACCTTTACCTTTTTGAATGGACTAGGAGGCAAGCTTTGGTTGCTTTCTTAGACCAAGGGAAAGTGTACGATCAAAGGTATATTACAGAACAAAGTTGTTACCTAACTGCATTTATTACACCTTGGGATCTCACTGGGTTACTGTTCCCTCTCTCCCACACTCACACTGCTGCCTCTTCACACTGACATATCCCTCAGCCGGGTGGGAGACACCTGCTCCAAGACTTGAACAGATCCCCAGAGGTGTCATAGGCTTCACTACTCATAAGCCCCAACCACAACAAATAAATCCAGAACTCTCTCCTCAGGGATGCATTCAGGGCTGGACTTTGCAGTGGGAAGTCCAGGGCCCAGGCTTATGGTTCCAGAGCCCCGACAAATCCAAACTGAGCGACCCGCATCACTGCCCCCACCATCTCCAGCCTCCTTTTTTCTTTTGCAAGCGTCCCAGCGTGAACTGAAGGCGACACTCAGCTTGCTCCCACCCCCGTGAGTGGAGGCGTTCTGCAGAAAACGCAACAGACCAGGGTCTCCTAAGCGTCAAAGCTGGCAACCCTCCTCCTAAGATCCGTGCGGCAAAGAGTTGTCACTGCTCAAACGGCCGCTTCTCCTCCTAAACACGCGCCTAGCAACCGCTTCCTGGCTCCACCTGCTGAGTTGGACTGCGGGTGAAGAAGGCCAAGGAAACGCAGCCTTCCGTAAACTGGCGCATCCTCTCTCGAAGGCAGCTCGCACAGCACAGGCGTTATCATTTCGCAGTTTAACCCTCTGTGCGCACACGCACGCACGCACGCACGCGGGCGCGCAAGGAACCTTCCAGGCCGGGCGGGGGACCCGACTGAGCCCGGAAGGCGGAGTCTGATTCGGCCGGCCCTCGAGCGGAAGGCCGAGAAGCCGCGCGGGGAAGTGGTCCGTCTGCGGCGTGTGTCAGTCGGTAGCAGGGAGCATGTCGCACGCCGCTCCGCTCGCCAAGCCCTCCAACCCGAGCAATCCCCGGGTCTTTCTCGATGTGGACTTGGGGGCGGAACGAGGTGGGGGCGGGGGCTGCGCGCCGCGGGGGGGTGGTGGAGTGCAGGCCGGGGGTGGAACGTCTCCGGGCAGGAGGGGCAGGAGCCTGAGACGGCCTACTGGGGGGAGCCGGACCTCCTCCCCGGCTGCTCTTGAGGCACCATGCGTGTGCTGCTGTGTGCAGATTTTTGCAGGCTCCTTCGTTGTTCGAAAGACGGGGTGGAGGAGGCGGGGAGAAGCGACCCTTCTTAGACCGTTATATCCCCACCCCCACCCCGTGTGTTGAGAATTGTCCGTGGAGCTTTGTACACACCGTGAATGCGCGTGTCATTCTTTTACAGTGTACGTGATTTTTTTTTCTTGTTGCACGCATCGAGTCAGTATTACGTTGTATTTAACGCGTGTGCAGTTGAACGTGCCATTTCACTTTGCCCAAGCTTACCCAGGTACTGGCCCCTGTTCTTTAACTGAATGCGTGTTGGCTCTTTTTCACGGTGCCCCCATGCAGGGTATAGGCATTAGGCACGTGCGTCCAGAGCTCCTGTAGTTAAACGCTTGAAGTTCGAGCATCAAGAGCTTTGACACGGAGCTTCGTCAAACTGTGAAGCTTTGCCAGAATTATACTACTTCAGGCTGCAGTTGGTGGAATCGCAAAACTCGATACGTTTTTCCCGTTGAAAATAAAGCCGCCTCGATTTCAGTGCATGCCCGGAAGAAACTTTATGCCAGCCTTTTGCCTCTCATATTTTCTTTCTGTATGCAGGATTTATTTATTTTTTTAAAAGGGGGGCGGCGATTCTGCCGGCAACAGTCTAAAGTGGTACATTGGGGGGGGGGGGGGGGGATTTGAGTCTGTTCTATGTGTAAACCAGCTGTCAGGTATGAGACTGACAAATCTGTTGAGATTTGTGGCCATGCTGTGATGAGGAAATTTTAAACCTAGTCCTCCATCCCCACCCTGCATCATACACTACAACCATCTTATACAAAGCAGTGTCAAAATATCCCTAATGCATCACATTGTTTGCAGATTTAACTAATCATCATATTAGGTCAGATTCTGATGGTTGCATGTGTAGCCACAGAATAAAAATAAAGAGATTCTCTTATTTTTCACTCCCTGGTCCTATTGCTCTTGGGAATACTCAAGTTTATTGTGGTACCTTTGAAGGCCAGTTTTGTTGCCCCTTAAAACCTTTATGGTTCTGGTTTACCTTGTTCTGTATAAAGAGATGGACAGCTACAACTTTGTGGGGTGTAATTACCAATTGCTTAGTTTGGAGAGGTATATAGCCCCCTGTAAGTAACAGCCATCAATAATCAGTACATTGGTTCTGATCTGAATGGCACTTGTGAATGAGCTGAGAAGCATTGCTGGGAATTTGAAATGTATAAACATCAATATATCAGCTGAAAGAAAAAAGTAATTCACTTGTACCCTGCCTTTCTCCCCAATGGTGATCCCAAGTGGCTTACATTGTTATCCTCTCCCCCATTTTATCCTCACAGCACCCCAAGAGAGGTAGGTTAGGCTGAGACAGTATGACTGGGCCAGGGTCATCCAGCATGCTTCCATGGCATAAGTGGGGATTCGAATCTGGGTCTCCCAGATACTAGTTTGACACTCTTAACCTCTACATCACACTGGCTCTCCAAAGTGAGAAATGCATCCTCCAAAACGAGGGTATAATTTAGGAATATGGCATTTTATTTACTGCTGGATAGGAATTTTCCTACAGAATGTGTGCCAAGTGTAGCAACAATTTCAATAGAACATAGAATTGTTATTTCAAACTATGTTGTTAAGGACTGGCATGGTGTTAGTGGTGTGAGCTCTTATTAGATTACACCTGCCAGAATTGTTGGCATTTCATCATTACTTGGATTCATACTAAAAAGCTGTACAGGTCAAATTAGTGTAGGGACCACACTAGAGCATAGTCTAGGGAGGTGGAAATGTCATAGTCAAAATATTGCTTGGTCATGAAGTACTCATAGTGATCTTGGGCAAGTAACTCACATACTCGTTCTTGCTGTGAGGATACAGTGGAAAAAATTCAATGCCATGTATCCTGCCATAGGAAATTCCTCCAGCCTAGGGGGACTTCCTCTAGCTTAAATAGCTCTTCTGTTGGAGGAAGAGCTACTTAAGTCAGAGGAAGTTTCCAAACTTTGCTCAGTGCAGTGCTAGGATACATGGCAGTGTGTACTATCCTGAGGTCATTGAAGAAATGGTGGAGTATAAATATGATAAATAAAGCTTTAAGCCTCTGTCGTTTCAGTTGGCCGAATTGTATTGGAATTGTTTGCTGACATTGTACCTAAAACTGCTGAGAACTTCCGTGCATTATGTACTGGAGAGAAAGGTATTGGACCCACAACTGGAAAGCCTCTTCATTTTAAAGGATGCCCCTTCCATAGGAGTAAGTTTATATTGTCTTTGTTTTCTTCAGTTTGCTGAGGCCCTTTCATGATGAAGTCTTTTAAAGGCAGTGAGAGCTTTTCCTTTGTAGTACTAGTAAAGGTTTCCCTTGCTCGAAAGCCAGTCAAATCCGACTCTAGGGATGCGGTGCTCATCTCCGTTTCCAGGCCGAAGAGCCAGCGCTGTACAGAGATGTTTCCGTGGTCATGTGGCTGGCATGACTAGACGCCAAGGCACACAGAACGCTGTTACCTTCCCACCGAAGTGGTACCTATTTATCTACTTGCAGTTTCTTGCTTTCGGTACGGCAGAGGGTTTTTTCATGGCCTGCATATGAGTACAAGTGTGTGAAATGCATAATTTTCTTCTTATAACCTACTGTAGAAGATTAAAAGAAGGGGATCAAAAAAGTACTTGTGGGGGGATCCCCCCATCAGTATCTGTAGCTGTGGCTTCCTCCCCCACACCTCTTCCTCCTAGCTGTCACCAGTGTTCATATGCCACTTTGAGTTACTGTTCTTCCCAAAATTTGACAGTTCAGTTTTTGTGATGTCAGTCTGTTCCGTGCAAACACCACCGTTAGTTTTTTAGTTTAGAAATACAATTTAAGATCTTGCTTACACAGTCTCAGTGGGTCAAAGGCTGCGATCGTGCACACACTCAAAGATCTACTTTCAGTGCACTTTCAGACTGGATTTTGGCAGTTCACACAGTAAAAATCCAGTTGGAAAGTGCATTGAAAGTGGATTATTGAGTGTGTGTGATCACAGCCCTAGAGCCCTGCTTCTCCCCTGCCTTCTTTTGGCCGATATACAGAGAACATGCCAGATGATTCCAGAAAAGTGTAGGTCCATATTTACCTCTTATCCTCCCACTCCCTTGTCCCTATTCTCTTAGTACGGTTCCTCAAGGAACTGCTCTGCTAAACTTCCTGTGTGTGTATGTCAAGGGGAGGGGAGAAGGAGGGTTGACTTGCTTTTTATGGAAATCACCAAACAATGTTTTCATAATGTAAACAAGCTACAATATTGCTTAACAGAAAGGCTGTTGTGTTTCAGTCTGCACTCTCAAGTGTTTTTAGACGAACATATGCTATCTCCTTATAACTGTCAGGAACAGAGGTTTGGGGCACAAAAATTTCAAGTACTTTGTTTTTCTTCAGACATTTCCTCCATGTTTTCAAAATACGTGGTTTCATAAAGTCAACAGCAGTGAATGGAACCTATAGCCGATACAGTATCAAGCAAGCTTGGTGGTTTCAAAGTTGTAGTTAATGTTTTGTGAGTTGTTATCCCCTAAGGACTGTATGAAAGAAAACACGTATCTTTATTGATTAGTAAATGGGTGAGGGAATACAACCATAAAAATATAATTACTTATAAAATCTTAAATTTTGTCTTCTCTCATACAATGGGTTATTGTCATCAGTAATCTGATGTGAAATTATCAGGTAATGCAAGTGCAACTGGGGTGCACTAGTGTCCTCGGTGAACAAGAGGTATAATGCCATCTTTAGGAGAATTACACCCTAGTGGGCTTAGAAGGGTGTAACTGTTTAGGATGGTACTGTTAATTTCTGGGGAAATGGATAAGTGTATGGCCATGGTGCATCGTGGACGTGTTTTTGGCTGTTGAAAAATGTTCTTAAATAATATAAGGTAAAGTTTAGTTTACTGAATATAAGTCAAAATAGGCATGCTGAATCAAATCACAGTGCGTTTAGGACCCTGGAATTTTTTTTCTGGAGAAAATTCCTGATTTTATGTTTTTCCTGAAAAATCACTTTTAAGAAATTGGCTCCAAGTGTCTTGTTTAATAAAAGATTTATAATTCCTTTCTTTCACAAAGTGGAGTTTTGTGACACTCTGGATGCTGTCTGACTTAGTGCCATCTGTTCTCTTTGGGTCCTCACTGTTTAGTTATCAAGAAATTTATGATCCAAGGAGGAGACTTCTCAAATCAAAATGGAACAGGTGGAGAATGTATATATGGGGGGAAATTTGAAGATGAAAACTTTCATTACAAGGTAATGAAATTAATAATTTGATAGTATAATTCAAAATATTTATTTTCATCCTAACAATAGCTGAAGAATGTATAGATATGGTATTTGGTAGGCTGCAACTATTGTCTTAAGAAGGGAATGTTTCAAACTCCACCTTCTTACACATTTCATTGTAAGTTAAAAACTTAAATGTTAATAAGGAATATGTTTTATAACCTTTAGACTGGCATCTCATGATTATTGCTTTAACGTGTTGAGTATATATACTTGTACTTTTAAAATAATCCCGTTGAGCACAAGGAAAGCAACTTATTTTAGTGAGGGCAAGCCATTGTAAAGCTTAGGGGATATCATGGGAGTCTTAGGATATTGTCTCTAGTTCCTGCGGAATCATTCTCTCCAAATAATGTTACGTTATTTTATACAGCACGATCAGCCAGGCTTGCTCAGCATGGCAAATGCAGGACAGAATACAAATGGTTCTCAGTTCTTCATCACAACTGTACCAACTCCTCACCTTGATGGGAAACATGTAGTCTTTGGACAGGTGATCAAAGGCATGGGTGTTGTAAAGCTTCTAGAAAATGTTGACGTAAAAGGGGAAGAATCTATTAAGGTAAGACTTTAGCCACCACTTGAAAGATCTCTTTTCCCTTTTTCTCTGAAAGCATATAAAAGAATAGCTGCATTGCAAACTAGAAACCTTTAAGTAAAGGTAAAGGTTCCCTTGCTCGAAAGCCAGTCGAATCAAACTCTAGGGATGCGGTGCTCATCTCCGTTTCCAAGCTGAAGAGCCAGCGCTGTACAGAGATGTTTCCGTGGTCATGTGGCCGGCATGACTAAACACCAAGGCTCACGGAACGCTGTTACCTTCCCACCGAAGTGGTACCTATTTATCTACTTGCAATTTCTTGCTTTCGAACTGCTAGGTTGGCAGGAGCTGGAACTAGAGATGGGAGCTCACTCCATCATGCGGCACCCGGGTCTCGAACTGCTGAACTACTGACCTTTCACAGCCTGCAGTTTAGCGTCTTAACCACTTGAGTCACCGCAAGAATATTTACCAAGGAATAAATAAGAACAGACATTTGTTATGTAATTGGCTACACTGGGCTCAGATTTTGCTCAAGTATGGTGTATGCAGATGTATGCCTTTTGTTGGTTGAAAGATACTAGATGTAGTTCCATGATAGCATTTGCTAAATTGAAATCCATAGGAAAGGATATTAGCTAAACTTTGTATGGAAACACTATGTTTTAATGAATAAAAGTGCATTTTATACCTTTTTAAACAGAAGTGCATTATTGCAGAATGTGGAGAGCTAAAGGAAGGAGATGACTGGAGAGCTTTGCCAGTGGATGATTCTGGAGATACTCATCTAGACTTTCCTGAGGATTCTGATATGGACTTTATGGAAGCAAGTATCATAGCTCTTTTCCATGTGTTATCCTTAAACATGTCAAAACTGCCCCCCCCATATATATGTGTGTGCGAGTATATATATGCTCAGCAGTTATACTGTTAGATATATATATATATATACACACTAGGGGCAAGGTCCATTGTGGGGAGAGACAACGGGCCCTAGGGAAAGTGGCCGCTGCAATCCAAGGTGGTTGGGCTGCCCCCCCGACGCAGGGCCGGGGCGTGGCGGGGGAGGGAAGCGCGGCGCTTACATGCCAATAAAGGTAACTGGACTGGAAGCACGGTGCAGCTGCCTCCCCCCTCCCTGAGCCCAGCCGGGGCTTGCAGAGGGCCCCCCCAATGCAGGGCCCATAGCCTGGCTGGCGGAGGTTGTGCCGCGTGAGGGAAGTGTGGCGTGGGTGCCTTCCCTCTCCCTGAGCCCAGCCAGGGCCAGCGGAGCCCCCCCCCCAATGCAGGGCCCATAACCTGGCTGGCGGAGGCCGCTCTGAGCGAGGAAAGACCGGTGCGGCTGGCAGAGAGAGGCCTCGCAGCAGGGAAGGGGGGCTGGCCTCGCGGCTCCCCCCCCCGAAGCAGGGCCCGGCACCTCCCTGGGCGAGTCTGTGGTGGGCGGGGGCGCGGCTGCATCCCCCCTCCCTGAGGCCAGTGGAGGGAACTCCCCCGAAGAAGTGGCCACCGCCTTCCCGTGTCTGGCCACACCGGGTGAGGGAAGCGCGGCGTGCCTGCCGGCTCCATCTCCGGGGCCGGTGCAGGGAGGCTTTCCCCATCCGTCCAGCTCGTCAGGCGGGCAGGGAAAGGCGGCACAGGGCCTGTGGAGGCCTTCCCCTGTGCTCACCCTGCAGACGGTCTGGTCCTGTCCGAGGACCACAGCAGAGTGAGCCAAAGACACTGGCCGAGGCTGACGTGGCCGGGAGTCCGCAAAGCAGCCAGCCAACCCAGCCAGAGTCTTCTGACTGGCAGTTCATGCGGCCAACCTATTTTGGCGTGCCTAGAACATTGTAGGATGAAAACTCAATGCTACGGTATATATAATTGTATTTTGGTCATGGACTCCCCTGAACATTCCAACACGCTCCAAAATCGGTTCGCTCTCTGATCTGTCATTCAGAGGGTCTCCCTATCCACTGGCTGCTTTGCCTGAGTCCTGCCTCCAACATTCTAAACAGTTTGCTCTTCCTCTCCCCCCCACAGCCAGTCAGAACACAGAGGTTATTTGCATATGTGGCCTCATTGGCCTTTGCCTCGGAACACAGAGGTCATTTGCATATGCGGCCTCACTGGCCTTTCCCTCTAACATTCTAAACAGTTTGCTGTTGATGTTCTGAGGTAAAATAAATTCCCCCTTAGTGTCTGTTGGGGGAAACCATGGTTGCAAATCTCCAGGTGAGGGCTAAAGATCACTCAGAATTACAACTGCTTTCCAGATGGCAGAGATCAGTTCCCCTGGAGAAAATGGTGGACTCTGTGTCCTTATATCCTGCTGAGATGGCCCCTGTATGACACCCAATGTGACGTAGCAGTCAGGGCTTCAGCTATTAAAACTGGTGTCCAGATGACCCAGATCAATTCTCTTGGAGACAATGGCTGCTTTGGGCAGTGGACTCTATGGCATTATACCCTGCTGAGGTCCCTCCCCACCCAAAATCCTGCCCTCCCCAGGCTCTACCCCTCAAATCTACAGGTATTTCCCAACCCAGAGTTGGCAACCGTGTAATTGGCTATGGAACCACTTTCCAGACCCTTGGAACCCAGAAAACGTGGCACAGGAGGGGGTGCTTTTCTACCTTAGCTGTGACTGCATAGCCCCAAATTAACATAAGCCAACCTCCAGGCGGCACCTGGAGATCTCCAGCTATTAAAACTGATGTCCAGATGACCAAGATCAGTTCTCCTGGAGACAATGGCTGCTTTGGGCAGTGGGTTCTATGGCATTACACCCTACTGAGGTCCCTCCCCACCCAAAATCCTGCCCTCCCCAGGCTCTACCCCTCAAATCTACAGGTATTTCCCAACCCAGAGTTGGCAACTGTGTAATCAGCTATGGAACTACTTTCCAGACCCTTGGAACCCAGAAAACATGGCACAGGAGGAGTGGTGCATTCTACCTTAGCTGCCACTGCATAACACCCCCCTCCCCCTCAAAAAATAAGTCAGAGGTGGAGAGAACCATATCTGTTACCATGAGGCTGTCCTCCCATTCTACCCACTTGGGGCAGCAAAATGACTTGAGACAGCCCTGCCTTATAATGCACAGAAGAGCAGTTGTATATGTTCAGTTTATTCACTTGCTTGTCTTGAGCCAAGGCAGTATCCATGTCATTCTTCAGTATTTTCACTGGAAAGGTATCCATCATAATACAACAGATCTTTGAGTGAAATGGTATTCTGATAAAAAAGCAATGTGACTGGAGCTATGCGCATAGACTGCACCCAACAGTTTGAGTAGGACTACAGCCAAGCTCACTTATTAGAGCTTCTCTAACGGCAAAGTGTATATTTCTGAGTGCTAGTTTATTTTTTTGCAGACTGACAAGATTTTATCTGTAGCAGAAGATATAAAAAATACAGGCAATACATTCTTCAAATCCCAGAACTGGGAAGTGGCACTAAGGAAGTACAGCAAGTCTTTAAGGTAACTGTTAATGTTCAAAATAACCCTTTTGTCTCTACTACCTTTATCTTAGTAGTTAAAATTGTGTTTTTAAGAGCTCTTTGCGAACAAAACCATGCTTTCCTAATTTGCATGTCTTATAACAGTACACGTAAGTTTTATCTGTGCCTGTAGAATTGTTCTGATGAATAGAGTCAAACTGCAGAAAGCATGCTGTCTAAATATATGTCTTATCTATTGCATGGGAGAAAACACCTCTCTTTCTTGGCCACGCAGTATGGCCCTCAACAGTGCAAATGAGACCACACTAACTCAACCATCTTACTTTGTACAGATACATAGAAGCTTCTCTTGCTGTAGCAGGGAAGGAAGATTCAGCAAAGTTGAATGCTGCAGCTTTGACCTGCCATCTAAATGTTGCTGCATGCAAATTGAAGCTAGCAGAATGGCAAGACGCAATTGAAAACTGTGCTAAGGTATATGGTTTTGGGTTTTTTAAACTGGAAAATAAAGGTATAAAATGGGAGCAATCTATAAGCAACCACACTGATTTGGGATATGTTTGATATACCACTCATATGGTGTAGAATCTATGGATGTGTGTTTAGGGCTACATGTATCTTCTTCCAACCTCATGGATTGTATATGTGCTAAGGATATTTGGCTGTCCTCGACTAGGGCTTATGGGCCTTTTTGGCCCTGGCCACAACCTGGTGGAACTCTCTGCCGAATACCATCAGGACCCTGCGGGACCTAGTGTAGTTCCACAGGGCCTGCAAGGCAGAGATGTTCCGCCAGGCTTTCGGTTGTGGGCAGTGCTAGTTTTTATCTCGGCTGGCACACTCCTCAGTTCCCCATGCTCGTTTCGACCACTTCGCCCCTGCCCACGAAGTGGCCAGCAGTCTGCAATATGGGAATAACTAATTATAAGTATTACCAGGGGTCATTTCATAGAAAAAGAGCTAGGGGGACTCATTAGCATATGCCACACCCCCTGACATCACCGGAAGTGTGTCCTCCCCACAGCTGGCAGCGACCTCCAGCGGGCACCAGCAGGGAGCTCCAGGCCCCGCCCTCCCGCACCTCACCCGGGGGGATGGCGTCCCCCCGCGTCCCCCCCCAAATGACCCCTGAGTATTACTATTCACCATCTGTCTTTATATAATGTAACTTAATAGCATTGATTGTTTTATCTGATTATTGTCTTAATGCTATTGTACATCACCCAGAGCCCTACGATAGTATGGATGGTGCAATTCATAAATGTAATAAATAACAATAACACTCCATATGTCTGAACCAACACACATGGGTAAATGGGTTTAAAGATGAGGCAGGTGTGAAATGTTTAAAGGCAAGCAAGCACAGTATGGCAACATTCAGATATCGTGTCAAAACTGTCCATTCCCATTTGAGCATAGTTTACTGGCATCCCTCCTTTCTCCTGTCTCACAAAGTGCTATTGAAAGTTTCCTTCCTGGTTTAGGAAGGCTTCAGTCCAACTCCTGTTTGCCGTTATGTACACATACTGCAAAACATGCCAGCAAACTGTGCTTGTGCTGTTATCATAAATAAATTTCAGGTTTATATTGAAATTGATCATAGCATAGCAACTGGTTGTGTTTACGGGCTACAGTAACATAGAAACAGAAATAACATACATTTGTGTGCACTAGAATCTGGGTAGGGGAAGTTTCTGCTAGTTACAGCAATTCAAATTGGATTGATAATGGAAAACAACCCAGTTTGATTGAGTGCATGAGCTGCCCCTGCCTTAGAGAGATCCTGATGGGTCAAATTACTACCACAGTTGCTTTTACTTTAATATTGCAAGTATTCTTCATTGTACAGGTTCTGGCCCTTGATCCTACAAATACCAAAGCACTTTACAGAAGGGCTCAGGCCTTGGAAGCAACAAGAGATTACGAACAGGCATTGGTAATTAATTCTTGCTTTTGCTTAAACATTACAGTAAGGTGTGTAAAAACTTTGTCTAAGTCTGTTTTTTTTTTAACTTCTTTAAAGGCTACCCTCCAGCAGGCTCAAGGCATAGCTCCTCAAGACAAAGGTAAAGCATCCATCTGACTTCTTCCTAGCAGTACAGGCTAGGTAGCTTTGCTGATAAGCTAGTCCATATCCACTGGAGACTGCAAATAGTTTATTGTCATTTAATCCAGGATATGTATTCAGATGAGGATTTTTAGTTTGACAGAAGTGGGCTAAATTCACTGTGCCTCCAGTTTCTTGGTCAGCATTTCTAATGAACTAGGGAAAATGACAGTGCATATAAAGGAAGGAGAGTTTTCTCCATTTGTTACTGTTGGAGGTGGTGTGGAAGTTGTATACCCAGGCAGAAAACAGATGAGGTCTAATCATGTGATCTTTTAAAAAAATCCACAGCTATCCAAATGGAAGTACAGAAGATTAAGCAAAAGATAAAGAACCAGAAGGAGAAAGAGAAGGCAGTTTATGCAAAGATGTTTGCTTAAATTGAACTTTGTGTCCCTTCATCACGAATCCTGCCATTCAGTGTACAAGCATTTAGAGGTATTACTGACAGTGACATTGTTATGGATCACAGTCAATAATGATGCTATTTCTCATGTTTGGATCATTTAAAAACCTGCATATGATTTCATACATCTTCAGTAATAAGGCAGTAGTAGTAGTAATATAAAAAAAAAATTAGAATGACCTAGTTACAAGGATTTGGGGGAGAAATTCAGTAATGTAAGTTTAGTTTCTTTTATTCCCTAATGCTGTTACGTGGTATTTAAGAAATAAAACCATTGAGCTTCCGGTGGGTGGATCGGCGATGGCGGTCGCTCTCCTCGAAGCTCGAGGAGGCGACTAGCACACTTTTGGCTTGGAGGGGTGCCACCTTAAGTGGCACTCCCACGGAACCCTTGCGGTGGGTTCCAAGCCAGAGGGCTTTTGAGGGTTAGCCTCTCCGATGGCTCGAAACTGTGGAATAGAGGCTTCCCTCTGCCCTGATGGTCCAGCCGATGGGTGACCTATGGGTGTAAGCCAGTCTGACCGGGACAAGAGCAGGAGATCAAGCGGAATAGCGATGGAAGAGAGCGAGGTCAGAAGGGACCAAAAATGAGCGTGAGTGAGAGATAAACGTACTGTTTTTGTAAAGCGAAGCCCCCCCCCCCCCCGTGGAGAAAGCGGAGTGCAGGGAGGGACGCCTCCTGAGCGATTGAATAGATCAAAGAAGTGAAGGGGGGGAGAGGGGAGAGAAACAGCATTACATTTTGAGAGACTTACTTCAGCTTGTATAGAGAAACGGTGAGTCTTTCGAGCTCTGAAACAGAGGTGTTGAATTGTAAACAAAGAGAGAACATGGCGGTTCCACGAAGGAAAATAAAACCGAAAGGCAGCCAGAGTCCAAGATCGGAAGAAAAACTTCGCCTTGCAGCAGCGCCAGAGAAAAAAGTGGAGCAGGCAACTGAGAAGCTGGTAGAGATGGACACCGGGAACAAAAAGATGATGAAAAGAGTGACAGAGGTGGAAATAAAACAAAAGCTGCAGAAAACCGTTTACTTCAGCTGCAAATGCAGAAAACAAACATGACTCTCAGATTTCAGGGACTGCCTGAAAAGGAAAAAGAAGATTTGAAGAAGACTCTGGGAGAGATCATCGCTCCAGTAACAGGCTTATCAGCAGATGAAATAATAAAAGATATAGAGTCTGCCTATCGGGTATACTCTAATTACATTAAAAAAAAAACAGCCTGCCTGGGGAGATTGTAGTCAAGTTTGCAAGAAGACAGACCTGAGATGTTATATTAAAGGCAACTTTGGCAAATCCACTGAAATTTGGGAATACAAATATTAAGACTCTAAAAGACATCCCATTTGAAATCCGTCAAAAGAGGAAAAGCTACAAAGAATTAATCTCATTTCTTCAGACAAATGAAATACAATATCGCTGGGCGATCCCTGAAGGTGTCATCTTTAAAATTAATGATAAAAGAGAGAAGATTGACTCCATCTTTAAAGCAAAGGAATTTTTGAGACGACAGCTGGGGCCAGAAGCAGAACAAAATCAAGTGACTCTGCTACCTCTGGAACGGGGGAGGACTCTGGGGAGGAAGCGGGTGCAGGAGCAAGCAAAACGGTGTATGATTTCAGAGAAAGAAAACTGAAGTAAGGGCAGAAGGACTGTGAAAATAGCCCTATGAAAATAAGAAGATGCTCAAGAAGTGTTCTCAAAATATTAAAATTACTAACATTGAAGCAGTAGTTAAAAATAACTCACAAGTATATTGTTATACTAACACGTATTTACTAACATGTAGTTTAACACGGAAATGATCTCCTACTCTTGGGTTTTTAGTTAGTTTGGGTATCTTTTCTTTTTCCCTAGTTGTAGTCCCCCTTCCTATATTTTCTGTTGTAATTATGTAGTCTATTGAAAAACCAATAAAATTACCCTCTTGGGGGGTTCAAAAAAAGAGAGAAAGAAATAAAACCATTAAGCATACTGTAGAGTATAATGAAATATTCTTTATTATTAAACAAAACCATGTTACACTCACCTACCTTTAATTAACCTTGCTCTGTTCAGTTATTGCAATAAATGCAGTCTGTTTTAGAAGTAGTCTGTTCTTTAAGATCAGGGTCACCACAGTTATGACATTAATTGTTACAGAGCATTTGGAGGTACACTTCCATATCCTTGAATATAGGCTAAATCCATTATTAGGACCAAAGTCTACACTGACTCAATACACTTTCATCTGATTTACCCAAGCTATTTCCACCCACCTGCTCCACCGCTTTTCTCATACAGTAGAGAAAAGTGTACTCAAATAAGGCAAAAATTACCTGATTATGCTGATCCTGTATTTATTAACAGCAGTGCAGCCTTCAATAAGGTATTAGCCTCACACAGAACATTCAGACCACTGATGGCTTCTCCTGTGAGGGTAGCAAAACTGAAGGTTGACAGTGTCTGCAAGTGTCTCCAAGACGTTTTTAAAGTCAGTTTTGATCAGATCTACATTCCATTATAAGCGGGTCCTCCTCCCCCTTCAGGTACAACCCAGTTAATATTTTGGCTTGGATCTTTGATATCACATGTCTTGCAATGGACACAGTTCTGAGCATTTATCTGTAACCGCAGACCTTCTCCAGATTCCACAGGAACGTATTCATAGACTCCTGCAAAAACAGAAACATGATTTCACTACAAAAATAGCAGACATTTGAAAATACAGCAAAAACGCAGCGTAAACCCCTCCCCCGTTGTTTACAGCAAAAGTACTTGTGTAATACTGAAGTCATTATTTGAAGGAGTAGCTTTCAGCTACCACAGGTTCATACTCAAAAGGGGGTGGGGAGAGTCCTAGATACCTGCAGGGCAGAATCGTTGCTCTGGTCCATCGTATATAGCTAAATTTTTGTTGACAGGAACACTATCGTCCTTCAGAGTCAAATGTGGTGGTTGGTCATGTTCATGATTAGTACCACTAAGAGCCACTGATGACAGCAAGTCAAAACTGATTTTTCCATCAGGTTTAGGATATTCAATAGGTGTGCAGTCTTTGGCTGGCTTTAGCTGTGCTGAGTCTGCCCCTAAAATAAAACAGTTAACGGTGAAAAAAATGGGTAGTATAAAGAAAACTATTTACTCTGTATTAGGTGTAGCAATATAAAAGGAATATATGAGTTCCATCAAGTATACAAATATCTCTTAACCAATGTTCCCTCTAAGCTGTGGAGTCCTGTGAGCAAAAAAATCTACTTTTGTGAGCGACTGGCATTAAAGTTGTGAGCGAGCGATTTAGCTACTGCAGAAATTAGTTTGCTCTGGAGCCATCCTTCCTGAGCTAAGGCAAAAATGTGTGAGCTGGAGGCTAAAGAACCGTGAGCTAGCTCACACTAACTCAGCTTAGGGGGAACTCTTTTCTAAAAGAAGCAAAGTTTCTCTGAAACATCTTCATTGCAGCAACAGTCTAGCCCACATACTAAGAAAGGGAGAAAAATCATTCAAACGCTCCAAATGTAATACTTTATGCAAGCCCCCTGAGGTAAAAATAAAGGCAATCTTTTACTAGCTGTCCTGCACTTGCAGAGAAGAATTTTGCCTTATGCAGGTAGCATTTAATAGAAAAACCTTTATACAATGAAAATAAACCCTCATTTTGCTCCACATACACAAATTCACAAGCAAGCTTATCAGTTTTGTCTTGCCTGTAGCTCAGTTTCTTGTGGAAATATTGATGGAATCTCAAATGGTTATGACTACATAGGAAATACCTCAGAATTGCGGTGAAAGCTCACAGAAGATGCTGGCTGCTACAAAAGCAGAGGCCAAGAACAAACAATATTGTGCATTAACAGAGAGGGAATAGAAAACAGCAAATACAATGCTACAAATACTTGGTATAGTCACAGTTCCTGTTGCCTTATTTCTAAACTGGAAGAAGTCGCCAACTCGCCGGATAAACGAACGATCAGAGCCGGGAGGGTACCTGGTTGGGCTTCCCCCACCCCAGACGTACTGTGGCCATAGTTAGGGTTTCTGCATAGGACTCTGCACCGTGCACCGTGTAAGCTGCTCAGAGCCCTTCGGGGGTGAGCGGGGTACAAATTGAAAGTATAAATAAATAAGTATAAAATGATACTGCAGGCCTGGAAAAAAGGTACAGAAAAGGGCTACCAAAATCTATTAAAAGTCTGGACCTTCCTTATGAGCTCTTCATAACTTTAAGCATCTATGCCTTAGTTTTAAAAGACAACTAAGGTGGAATATGATAAAAGTTTACAGAATTATCAGTAGTATGAAACAGGCAGAGAGACAAACCTTTCTCCATTGTAATAGTAAACTTGAGTTCACTTAACTGGCAACAGACTGGATCCTTCCTACCCTTCTATGAATGGAATAAGTTTGCAGAAAGGACCTTCACTGCAGCTTGTGTGCCTCTGAAAAGCAACTCCTGAAGGTCAGGAACAATGCTTCCTCTAAGCTGTGGAGTCCTGTGACCAAAAATTCTGCTTTGTGAGCTGCTGGCATTAAAGTTGTGAGTGAGTGATTTGGCTACTGCATAATTTAGTTTGCTCTGGAGCCATCCTTCCTGAGCGAAGACAAAAATGTGTGAGCCAGAGGCTAAAAAACTGTGAGCTAGCTCACACTAACTCAGCTTAGACGGAACACTGGTCGGAAATAATGTGGGATTTGGCAGCCAAGCAGCAATAAAGTGTCAGATGCTACTCTTGCACAAACCCTGACATTCTTGAAAGTGTCCTATCCACATAGCTCTTCAGGGAATGAAAGACAGGACGGGGGGAAAGGCAAAGACCTTTTCAGCACTGTACACAAAAGGGTTAGTTCCAATGTATAGGACAGATAACTACTTCATACAACAACAAACTAATTGTGGAATTTTATGCTGCAAAGTAGGAGATTTGGCTTTGTTGAGATGACTTTTTAAAAAGGTTCAAGAGTATATGGATGATTATCAACGACTGTTAGCCAAATTAGCTCAATGGAACTTGTGGAGGTAGTATGAAGATTGGATCCTAGGAAGAAGCTACAGAGGAAGTCCATAATCTTCACATTGTGCTCATGATATCCCTCTAGCTGGCTGCTGAAAGCACTAATCAGCATTGCCCAATTCACTGTTACCAGAAAGTCAGTTCTCATGTTCTCAGTTATTTCTCTTCTGCTCTTCCAACTAAAACATTTCTGACATTACGTTGTTTACACCCATAAGAATAAGCATGAATTCCATCAATAAATATTAAGCTATGAAGTGTATGTTGCTACTTGAGAAACACACCTGGGTGCTTTAGTGTCCAAGGCTCCATTCCTCT